ACTGGTTAACGCCGACCACAGGTAGTGGGCTGGAAGACGTCTCAGGAATGGCCTGTTACCCGGAGATGCCGTCTGAGCAGTAAACTGGTTAACGCTGACCACGGGTAGTGGGCTGGAAGACGTCCCAGGAATGGCCTGTTACCAGGAGATGCCGGCTAAGCAGTAAACTGGTTAACGCTGACCATGGGTAGTGGGCTGGAAGGAAGACGTCTCAAGAATGGCCTGTTACCCAGAGATGCTGTTTAAGCAGTAAACTGGTTAATGCTGACCACGGGTAGTGGGTTGGAAGGAAGACGTCTCAAGAATGGCCTGTTACCCAGAGATGCTGTCTAAGCAGCAAATTTACACTTGCATTATTTCTCTTGCAGTGCCCCTTCCTTGGTCTTGGGATCTGAGAATGTGGTTGCCCTGTTCCATGAGCTGTTCCTGTCTTGGTTTTATGATCTTAGGAACGTGGCTGCAGGGGCAGGATTCATATGTAATTGTGGCTGCGAGTAGTAGACTGAGGCAATGTTTAAAGTGAACAAGATTAATATGGAGCTTTACATTATGACGTTAGGACACAAGTTCATCTCCCAGAGATTTTCATCTATCTATACTATTACAAGCTGACGAGGCGCCAACATTGGAGGCCATACTAATGGGGAGGGCTGTTTGCAGGCAGTGAGCCTGAGTGATGGGGAGGCCCTTGATCTCATGACTGTCCTGAAGGAAAGCCATTCTTTAGGCCATTCCTGACACATGTGCTCACATCCTGGGCCTCACTTTATAGTAAAGGAGACCCCTACCTCCCAGGCAGCTGACTCCGGGCACTGACAGGAGCTACTCGCTGTAGGCCTGCAAACCCACGACTGAGTGGCGAGCACAGCGTGCTGTGGGTTATGAGGGATGGTGGTTGCAGCCGTGAATTCCCACTTGAGTGGTGAAGAGTGTGTGCAGTGTGACAGTCCACCCCAGCAGGCGGAAGTGCTTCAAACCAAAATGCCCAGTCCATTGCCATGGAGTCAATTTCAACTCACAGCGCCTCTAGAGGACAGAGAAGAACTGCCCCGTAGGGTTTCCACGTTTGTCAGTCTTTATGGAAGCCAAGCCCAAACACACCCATTGCTGTGGAGTTGATTCTGACTCATAGCGCCTCTAGAGGACAGAGTGGAACTGTCCCAGAGGGTCTCCAAGGCTGTCAATCTCTATGGAAGCAAAGCCCAAACTACTGCCATCGAGTCTGACTCATAGCGCCCATAGAGGACAAAGTGAAACTGCCCTATAAGGTTTCTGAGGCCGTCATCTTTACAGAAGCCGATTGCCACATCTTTCTCCCTCGGAGCAACTGGTGGGTTTGAACTGCCTGCTTTCTGGTGCTCGAGGGCTCTTTTACTGCTTGTGAAACGGAGGAACTAAAGAGCAGCAGTGACGATTCCTGAGTGTGTGGGCATGCTCACAGAAGTCATGGAAGTCACGAAGCAATGTGAGATGCACCCAGGACCCAGAAATCCTGCAGAGACTCAGTGACAGTGAGGTCACGCAGACCCCTTTGTGACAAGACACCTGGTAATAGTGGGCTAGTTCAAAATTTAGCTTATGTGAAGAATTTAACTGGAGGCAATTTCCCTTGTTCCTTGAGAGCGAATTGTGAAACTTTAGACTTTCTTGAGGACTCAAAACAAACAAACAAACAAACTCACTGCTACTGAGTCTGTCCTGACTTATAGCGACCCCTTTGGTTTTCCAAGGCAGTAAATCTTTATGGAAGTAGATTGCCCAGTCTTCCTTCCGTGGAGTGGCTGGTGGGTTTGAACCGCCAACCTTCTGCATAGCAGTCCAATGGCTTTTATTATTTTAACATCTCCAGAGTTCATGCAGATGATGGAGGCTGGTCACAGAGACCATTAGTAACCTGAGCTCAGAAAGGCTGCCATCAACCAGTGTTGCTGACTCCAACACCTGGCGACTGGAACTGCTCCAGACCGTAACCTTTCAGAAGATCACCAGGCCTGTCTTCCGAGGGGCCTCTGGGTGGGTTTGGACCGCCGACCTTTCGGCTGGTAGTTGAGAGCTTAACTGCCTGCACCACCGAGGGACACCATGGAAGACTAGCTAATGGTTCATTTTCTACTAGATTTTCTCCTTACAGCTTCACTGTGGTACAGCGCTTAAAGCATTCGGCTGTTGACCAAAAGGTCAGCAGTTCAAACCCATCACTGCTCTGCAGGAGAAAGACGTGGCAGTCTTTCCATAAAGGCAGTTGTACTCTGTTCTCTAGGGTCACAATGAGTCGGGACTGACTCCACAGCAGTGGTTCGGTCCTTCGCTAGGACAGAGGCGAGGTTGTCCTTGTGGCCCCAGTGGAAGAGCTGGCTGTGTTGGGAAAGTAAAGAGATGGGTGTGGCTGCGGTGGGGGCGGGTGGGCAGGGGCCCGTGAAGCTTGCTGCCTTCCTGGTGCCCAGGTCCACCACACCAGTGACGGTGCTGTCTCAGTTCCTGTGCCGCTGGTTTTACCTAAGTGCAGGCCGGCTGGGCGTGCTGGATTCAGATGGGATCTCGGGAGGGAGGCTCCCAGCGCACAGCAGGCGTCCTTCCTGGGGCCCAGCTGTCCTGTAGGCTCTGGCAGGCAGTGGGAGTGCCCAGCGGCCTCCCGGGGGCGGGGTTTAAACCGGATGGCCCGCTCTGCTTGCTGGGGCCCCCCACCAGTGTGAGCAGCGCTCTGGCGCTCAGGCTGCTCGGGTCAGTTTTCCAGAAACACTGCTGTTTCCGCTTCCCAGAGCATCAGTCTCGTTGCACGTCTGCTGGGAGGGGCGGCTGGGCTAGGGGGCTGACCCTTCCCGCGCCCCGTCCCGAGAGGCTGGCGCTGAGGGCCGCGCCCTGCGGGGAGGGCTCCGAGCTGTCACAGACATAAAGACAGTCATTGGGGCTCATTGTAGGGGGCAGGCGAGACAGATCCATGTGGTTTATGTCAGCAGCTTGGAAAGGACTCGGGCAGTGGTGCGAGCGCGAGTGCGGGAGCGAGGTGTGTTTGTATTCACAGGAGGAGCAGGCATGGGATCAGCACAAAGTGCAGGCCTTTGTTTCCCTCCTTCTTTCACTTGGCGGGAAAGTTGACCGGCCTGGGTCTTCCAGCTGCCCTCCTGGCATAGCGAGTGGCTCGCTCTCTGCTCCGGGGGTTGGCCGGGACACCGTGTGGTGCAGAGCAGCATCCCTGGCCTCTGTCCGTTGGATGCTTGTGTGACGATCAGAAATGTCTGCAGACATTGCCACCTTCTCCCCAGGGAAACTGTGTAGAGTCCATCACTGATCAGCGTCACTGAGCTCAGCTGATTGGAGCACCCAGGGCTGCAGTTGGGGCCAGGTGGCTAGGTGATCTCTTGTGGTCATCAGGCCTGACTGGATGTGGCCACCTCAGACCTCTTGGGCCCTCTTCCAAGGCTCGTGGGCGGCCTTGGGGCCAGTGTCTCTGGGAGGGTGGCACAGGGAGCTGGCTTTTGTGGCTGTGGATGCCTTTCAGTAGACCTTCTGGGTCTTCCAGCTCCACCAGAGATTTTTAAAGCCAGATAGAAAGGGCAGGTGAGAAGTAGCCCAGTGGCAGGCTTCTCGGCTGGGACTACAGGAGCCAGGAAACAGCAGAACAGCACCTTCCAAGCGTGGGCGGGAGTGTCCCCTGAGAACTGTATCACTGTTAGTCCTCACTGAGTCGGTTCTGACGATTATCCAGAAATGAGGCAAAAGGAAACAAAATTGGAGATACTTTTCACCAATAGACTTGCCGTAAAGGGATTTCTGGGAGCAATGGTTAACATTTGGCTGCTAACCAGAAGGTCAGCTGTTTGAACCCACGAGCCGCTCTGGGAGAAAGATGAGGCAGTTTGCTTCCGTAAAGACTTATGGCCTTGGAAACCCTATGGGGCAGTTCTCGGTCCTACAGGCTCGTTGTAGGTCAGAATCCACTCGATGGCACTGGGTTTAGTTTTCATTTAAGGGACTTCTAAAGGATGTTCTTCAGGGGAAGGAGATCTAAGGATAGAACTAGGTCTGGGCTATAAGGAGAAATGGTGAGCAAAGAAACAACATGGGTAAATCTAAATGTGTAAAACAGAAATAACGATATCGAGCTTGGCAGGTTCAAAACCGAGGCAGAGGCCTCCTAACCCTCCATTTTAAACCCCTCCAGGGCAGTACCAGAGGAGCTGGCTGCCCTGGAACAGCTAGCCCTCCGGAAGTCTTAAACTACAACTCCCGTGAGGCCATGCGCCCGACGGCCGGTGCGCAGGCTCGTTGGGCTTGCGCCGCCCGTTCTAGAATGCCGCCGCAGTAGGGCCTGGGCGCCATGTTGGGACAAAGAGGAAGGAGGCGACGCGCTTGAAGCGGCGGGCGCGGTGCCGGAGCGGTCGGACCTGGCCGAGAGCAGCCCGCCCCTCCCGCCTCGGCGGATCATGACCCGGGCGGTCGCCGCGGGGGTCGCGGTGGCGGGGCCAGCGCCGTGGCGGGGCCGGCGCCAGCGATGATGCCGTTTGCAGTCAGCACCCAGGGCCCACCACAGACACCGCCGCCCCAGAAGCACTATGGCCTCACCTCCCCGATCAGTTTAGCAGTCCCCAAGGAGACTGACTGTATACTCACCCAGAAATTGATTGAGACCCTGAAGCCCTTCGGGGTCTTTGAAGAGGAAGAGGAGCTGCAGCGCAGGATTTTAATTTTGGGAAAATTAAATAAGCTGGTAAAGGAGTGGATACAGGAAATCAGCGAGAGCAAGAACCTTCCACAGTCTGTCATCGGAAATGTCGGCGGAAGAATTTTCACGTTTGGGTCGTACAGATTAGGAGTCCATACGAAAGGGGCCGATATTGACGCTTTGTGTGTTGCACCAAGACACGTTGACCGAAACGACTTTTTCACCTCATTCTATGATAAATTGAAACTACACGAGGAAGTAAAAGATTTAAGGGCTGTTGAAGAGGCATTTGTACCAGTTATCAAACTATGTTTTGATGGGATAGAAATTGATATTTTGTTTGCAAGATTAGCACTGCAGACTATTCCAGAAGATTTGGACTTGAGAGATGACAGTCTGCTTAAAAATTTAGATATTAGATGCATAAGAAGCCTTAACGGTTGCCGGGTAACCGATGAAATTTTACATCTTGTACCAAACATTGACAACTTCAGGTTAACTCTGAGAGCTATCAAATTGTGGGCCAAATGCCACAGTATCTATTCCAATATATTAGGTTTTCTGGGAGGTGTTTCCTGGGCTATGCTAGTAGCAAGAACTTGCCAGCTTTACCCAAATGCATTAGCATCAACTCTTGTCCGTAAATTTTTCTTGGTATTTTCTGAGTGGGAATGGCCAAATCCAGTATTATTGAAAGAGCCTGAAGAACGGAACCTTAATTTGCCTGTATGGGACCCAAGGGTCAACCCCAGTGATAGGTACCATCTTATGCCAATAATTACACCAGCATATCCACAGCAGAACTCCACATACAATGTGTCTGTTTCTACACGAATGGTCATGATCGAAGAGTTTAAACAAGGGCTTGCTATCACACATGAAATTTTGCTGAGTAAGGCAGAGTGGTCCAAACTTTTTGAAGCTCCAAACTTCTTTCAAAAGTACAAGCATTATATTGTACTTCTAGCAAGTGCACCAACAGAAAAACAACATCTAGAATGGGTGGGCTTGGTGGAATCAAAAATCCGAATTCTGGTTGGAAGCTTGGAGAAGAATGAATTTATTACCCTGGCACACGTGAACCCCCAGTCATTTCCAGCACCCAGAGAAAATCCTGACAAGGAGGAATTTCGTACAATGTGGGTGATTGGATTAGTGTTGAAAAAACCAGAAAACTCAGAAATTCTCAGTATTGATCTCACCTATGACATTCAGTCTTTCACTGATACAGTTTACAGGCAAGCAATAAACAGCAAGATGTTTGAGATGGATATGAAAATCGACGCAGTGCACTTAAGGAGAAAGGAGCTTCATCAGCTTCTACCTCATCAGGTGCTTCAGAAAAAGAAACCCCAGTTCACAGAAGGCGTCACATTGACAGCTCTGAATGACAATAGCCTCAACTTGGCTGCAGACAGTGATGACAGTTTGTCTGTGCCTTTACCTGCCAGTGCTGTGAAGACCTGTCCATTGACAGGCAGCTCTCAGGGCAGGAGCAGTCCTATCCCAGCTATAATGGCAGCATCTGTGACCAGCCTTCAGGCTACCGAGGTTCCCACGCCACTAGTCAATTCCAGTGAAAGCTCTGGGGGTTTGGTAAGTGAAAGTTGTCTTCAAACTACCACACAGCCAGCCCTGTCTCCACCACCAAGGGCCACTGTTGCCAGAGTTGTTTCTTCAACACGTCTGGTGAGCCATCCCCCCAGACCCTCTGGAAACACAGCAACAAAAATACCTAATCCTATTGTAGGAGTCTAGAGAACTTGTTCCCATCAGACCGAAGGACCAAGAATACCGAAACAGAAGAATAACTCAACAAAGGGACAAGTACGGTCCAGTTAGAAACTGTCCCAACGGCGACTTCTCTGTTGGCCTCCCGGGAAACATCCAGTACAGACCTTCCCGATACCCCTGCTCTCCCTGCTAATCCTATCCCTGTTGTTAAGAATTCAATAAAACTGAAATTGAAAGGCTACAGACAATCTTAAGTTCCATAGCTAATATCTGCCAACTCAACCTGTTGTCTTCAAATGTTAAGAAAGTAGAACGGAGGGCATCAGACTAGACATGACTCAAAATAGGTTTAGATTTATTTGGTAACTTCCTTTACTGGGCTAGTCTTGAGCGGAAGTTCAGATTAGTATGTGAAGCTAGAAGTACCGTTACTCACAGGTCCGATACTAATGTGTCAACAATTTAATTACTGCTACCCTTACAAAGTCGCTATGAGTCGGGTTTGACTCGATGGCACATAACAACAACAACAAACTGTTCCAAAGAGAGAGAAAACCCTTCCAAGCCGTATTTGTACTTGTGGCTGATAATCTGGACTGGATGGGTGTCCGATGCATTGTTGGGAACATTAGCAATGCAAGCTGGTATAAGAGTTCCTTATACTGATGATGCACTTTTTTTGTATGTTCTTATTAGAAAGTAGAGCTGGTTTTCAGTTTTTCAGCTTGATGAATCTTCCGTTTTTTTCTGAAATGTTCACATTGGGACCGTCGTGCTTGTTTCAGGGAAAGTAGGAAAGTCCCTCAAGTCCAGTCCCTGTGAGGAAGCTTAACCCTTCGAGTGGAAATGGCAGCTCCCAGGGTGTTCACTTGACATTGAAAGGATAGGTAGTGTTTGGGTTTGATGGCACATGAGTAAGAAATGACACATTGGCTTCATTTGCAGAATTGTTCCCTAGTCGTGCAGTCAGCCACCAAGCAGTGACTGTTGTCTTTGAGCTAACAGGGTGCTTTCTTTTGTCCTCAGTCACTCATCTTAAAAATGAAAAACCTTTGTCCCTTCTTGCCTGTAAGCACAAGGTAAGCTTATATCATGGAGAGAACAACCCACAGTGCTAGTATTTTCCTAACCATGATCTGAAACCACGATGCTGTGGCTGCCGGGCACACAACGTATGTTGATTCCGTGGCTCATACTTGACGAGAATTTTAAACCAGTTTTTATTTTTAAAAGACTTAACCATAATTCATTAGTGAAAAATAATTTCCAGCAAGCACTTGACATCTGGTTAGTTTTCTGTGCCTTTGTTTTAGTCTATCAAAAGACTAGTGTTTTGGTTACCTAGTGCCGCTCTGACAAGAAATATACCACAAATGGCATGGCCTTAACAAACAGGAGTTTATTCTCTTACAATTTGGAGGCTTTAAGTCCAAGTTCAAAGTGCCAGGCTCTAGAGCCTGGGTGAAAGACCCTCAATTTCGGGGTCCAGCTCTGCCTCCTGCTCCTGGCCCACTGAAGCTAGAGGTGTTTCTTCACTCAGTTGCTGGCTGCTGAGGCTGAGAAGCCCCAAGGTTGACAAGTAAAAAGACACAGTCCCGATGTTACCAAACCACATGGCAGGCCATTAACTTAAGTGCATTCTAAGTTCCAAGGTCGGCAGAGCATAGTAGGCTACTGAGCAATGACACGGCTACATGCAGGGTCCAAGCGTGCCATAGGCCAGAGACCAGTCTCAAAGCTTCTCCTTATATACAGGAAGCAGACCACATGCCAAAGGCAGCTACTCAGCTGTTCATAGTAGATTCTACCATGGAGTTGATTGCCAGTCTCATCATGGGGAATCCTATATCCAGCTGCCCAGCCACTCAGCCAGGCCCAGCCAAGTTGACACACAAACATAACCACCACAACTAGGAATGCCCTTGAAAATGAGAACAAAAGCCCCAAAAGCCCAGCCTTCATCAGGAGGCAGCAGAACGTCCATTGTTAGGAAACACAGGTAAGTGGAAACGAATGGAAGTGGGGTGGTTTTCACCTGGATGTCACAGACCTAACAGTTTTCCAGGAAGCCTGGTCCTGATCCACCCCCCCTGTGTTCCTCTCCACCACGTGTGCCTTGTTCCCAGTAAACTGCACAGCGGTCAGCCCTCCACGTCCTCCAAAGTCCTTTCCCCGTGGGCCCTGAAGTGATGAGGTTTGCTTTCCCTCAGGGCTCTCTGGCGTCCAGGATCCACGCCTGTTGCCACATCTTTGTTCTGTGCGGCGCCTTCCACCTCAGTAATAGGATCAGGTGAAGTGGGAAGGCGTCTGCCCTCTGACTCGCTGTGGTATTTGGCTGAAGTCGCCCTGCACCAATCTAGTCTTATCATTTTGTTTCACGTTGGCGGACAATTGAGTTGATAAGCTTTTAGTGTAACTGCACCCATTTTACCAAGCTGGAAACTTGGAAGTTTTAACCCTAATTCTAGTTTTCATTCCCTGAGTATCAGGCTTTGTTTTCATTTAATGTACACAGACCCAAGTTTGCTTTGTTTTATAGTCCTGGACTCCCTGCATGGTTCAGGTGATGTTTTGAAAGCAGACGATGTATTTCTCCATCAAAAGCACAATAAAAATGAACAGCAAACAAAGCAAGCAGAACTGTAGTATGAGGCGAGACCCAGCTGGGGAGGGCGATTGAGCTAAGCTGTCTTAACAGCCTTGGAAAACATGTTATCACGCTGGGGAAACACCAAAAGGGTGTCACCTCAGATTAACAAACGTCAAAACTCGAATCAGTAAACCTGGATCTGAAAGAAAGGGGATGGGAGCACAGAAAAAAAGGACAAAAGGAAAAGACAATGGAAGACGGTGGAAATGACAGCAAACATCTGTCATAATAAATGAGCCCAACTTCCTGCTAAAAGACAGACTGTCCAGTTCCATGGAAAAACAAAGGCCAGCTGTGTGCTGCTGCATTTACAGGAGACCCACCCAAAACGAAAGGACACAGGAGTGAAGGCATGGAAGAAGGCAGGCTGCCGACAGAGTAACCGTAGCTTCAAAGCAGCTCGGAGGCTAAACCAGTGCCGAGGGAGGTGAAGGGCTACAGCATTCAGGACAGAAGGCAGCAGAAATCGGAGCCACTGAAAGCTGGTTTGCGCGTAATACGTTCGCCTCGATGTGAAACAAAGCGGAGGCAGGCAGAGCTGCCCAGCACACGATCGCGGGATGTTTCCCAAGAGCGCTTTCACTAGTTGACATCAAGGAGATAAACACGGAGGGAAGTGCTTTGAACCACTAATAACCTCGTGCCTGGGTTGGCGAACTTCTCCTCTAAAGACCAGGTCCTAACTATGTTCAGCTTTGCTAGGCCCTGCTCTCTGCTGCCGAGACTTGACTGCCTTTGTCGGTTGAAAGAGCCATAGACCGGACGTAATGCCCCGCCCCAGCCATGGATTGCCCTGATTGAGTGCCCCCACAGGCGTGGATTGCCATCCCTGACCCAGTGTCCCCCCCCAGCCGTGGGCTACCATTCCTGACCTGGTGAACATTTCTGATAAACTCCCCAACAGCAACAGCAACAACACATTTCATTGTCAGGCAATGGGCACACCCAACCTTAGCCCCAGGCTGGACTGCAAAGTCAGTGTCAGTCTCTGTATCACAGACCACCTCTGACTACCGGGCAGTGAGCCAGACATCAGTAACCAAGAGCATAGGAGCATTGCCCCCAAACACAAAGTAGCTCAAGTGATAACAAAGTGAAAAGCAGCCCACAAACCAGGAGAAGAGGTTTGTAATACATGAAACTAACACAGGACCCCTCTCCAGAATGTACAGAGAATGGCAGAAAACAAAGTCTGTTAAAAAAAAATCTTAGCAACCCAATAAAAAAATGAGCCAGAAAAAAAATTCACACACATTTCAGACAGAGGACAATAACCCAAAACCAAACTCACCGCCGTCAAATCAGTTCGATGCATAGCGACCCCTCCTTGGGTTTCTGAGGCAGTATCTCTAGGGAATTAGATCGCCCAGTCTTCCTTCCCAGGAGTGGCTGGTGGGTTTGAACCACCAGCCTTCTGGTTAGCAGTCAAAATGCCTTAGGCACTATGCCATCAGAGCATGAATGGACAATAAAAATGGAAAGATGGGCTATCTCCTTCGTTGTGAGGAAGATACAAATGAAGCCCACAGAGGTCACAAACCTTCCAAAGTCCAACCGTGCTTAAGCTTGGTGAGAAGGAGCGTGCGAGCTAGTGCCGGTGAGGCTGTAGGTTGCACGACCACTTGAGTAAACAGTGTGGTCGTTAACAGTATGGTCGTCTCTAGTAACCGTGAAGGAGCTTTGTGGTGCAGTGATTAAGCACTCAGCTGCGTACCAAAAGGTTGGCGGTTCAAACCCACCAGCTAACTCCATGGGACAGATGTCCTGGTGTCCTGTAGAGATTACAGCTTCAGAAACCCTATGAGGCAGTTCTGCTCTGTCCTGTAGGGTCGCTGGGAGCCAGAATCCCACAACCGCAACACATAACCACCACCACAAGTGAAATTGGCACGCCGGTACCATGTGACCCAGTTATTCTTGTTGGTGTACTCCCCAGAACGGAGCTGCTGTCCAGGTGTGGGCCAGTGCTGTGGGCCTTCCTGGAGCAGACGTGGGCTGGGAAGAATCCAGTTTCTTGTAGGACTGCAGCTTCCATTTTGGTTGGACTTGTTTTTTTTGCCGACTGCCGGCCAGGCTGTTCCCAGGGCCCTGCTGCGTGTCCCCCTCCCAGCTCGGGAACTGCCTTCATGTTGAACCGTGCTCACACTTCACGTCTCTCTTTCTTATCTCCGACCAGCTGCAGAAAATTCCCTGCTCTGAAGGGCTCTAAGTGTGGTTAGATTAGGCCCACCTGGACAACCACCCAGGCTGCAGGGATTGGTAGTCTTACGTACGCCGCAAAGTTCGTTTTTCCACATAACAATCATGGGAGTTGACACCATGGTGCAAAAAACATAGAGCCATCATAGGATTATACCTACCACAGAGGTCTTTCATGTTCTTTCCTGTGTTTATGCTGGATAATCCTCACCCTACCAAACCCACTACTGTGGCCAGTGCCAACTCACAGTGCCCCTAGAGGACAGAGTGGAACTGCCCCACTGGATTTCCAAGGCTGTCAATCTTTAGAAAGCAAAGCTCAAACCACACCCACTGCCGTGGAGTTGATTCTGACTGACAGCGCCCCTAGAGGAAAGACTGGAACTGCCCACAGGGTCTCCAAGG